CGCTGGTGGCCGAGCCAGGCTGCTCGCGCCCCCACCGCGCCGCCGCTACCGCCCGCCGCGCAGCCCGCGGGCCCTGCTCCTGCTCCTCCCGCCCCGGCCGTTCCTCGGCCGCTCTCCCGCCGACCTCCGCCTCCAGCCCCCGTCCCGTCTCGCCCGTCCAGTTACGGCCGCCCGGTTCCTGCAGGCCCCGCGCCGCCCGCGTTCCTATGGACAGACGCACAGACACCTGCAGGTGGGTGAGAGCCGCGCGCGAGGCGGGGGCGAGCGCGGGCGCCGGACGCCTTTGTGTGGGGGCGGCCGCGCCGTGACCCGCTGAACCCTCCTTTTGTACTCCGGGGGCATAGAGGCCGGAGTAGGCGGCCGCGGGCTGGGGCTGCGTGGGGGCTGTGGGGCCGCGGCCGCTGGGCTCCGCGGGCGTCTCGGGCGCGCTGCGGGGTCCGAGCCACAGGGGCTGCGGTGGCAGCGGGCGGGAAGGAGGAAGGCAAGGTCCGCCCCGTAGTTTCCAAGTCTGAGGAGGCGCTGGGCAGAGAAGAGGCTCCGGGCTACTGCGACCCGCTTCCCTCGGCTGGAAGCACCTGGAAGTGCGCGTGGGGCGTGCGTGCAGGAACGTGCGGCGCTTCGCTGCTTATTTATTGTTTCTAACGGAGGAGGGCTTTCTGCGAAAGGCTCTCCCACCCCCCTCACTCCCGTCTGAGGCTGCGCACAGTGATTAGTGTTTGTTATCGAATACATCAGGAAGCCCAGTGTCCTGGGCAGAGGATGGTGGGCTGACCTACAGCACATCAGAATCAAAGCAAAATTCAAAATGTGCTTTTCTAACGGCTCTTATTCTTTTTTAAGGTTGGATAGTGACTTAGGAAAAATCGAACATGGCTGATTTCTTTTTACAATTTTATACCTATCTATATCTATCTATATATATATTTGTGTTTGGAAGTTTTGGAGCAAAGTTTTTTTTTTTTTTTCCTTTCCTCACACTCGTTAGGATTAGCCTTGACAGACTATTCTACCTATTAAATAAACAGTTACCGAGAGTGTCAGGTAGTGACAGCTTCCATGGTGGGGGTTGCAGTAGAGTGTAATAAACAGTGGTATGCCTTTCTAGGCAGGCGCCAACCTTTGTTTCCGTTTTAAGATACGAGTTCTTTAACAGCGTTTGAGATCCATGTATGCTAGAAATTATTTTCCCACCTATGGTTGTATTTTCCGAATTTTACTCGATGCGTTTATGTATTCTATGAAATCAAGAATTGGGTTGTTGGATATGTTGGATACAGTTGGAAGGTGTAAGGTAGTAGTAGTTCTGATTTTTCTTATTTGTTTAGCTGGTTAACTTTCTTTATGAACGGTTGTGTGTTCATAGATATTCAAATAATAAATGAAGTTCGGTAAGCATTCATAAAATTCATTTTACAGATTCAGGTTTTCTATGTAGGTATGGGGTTAAATCCTTATGTTAATCTCAGTTTGTTCCTCACTTCTAGAAACTTCATTTTTGCCTACACTGTGAGAACCCATATTGACAAGCATAAGTGTAACCGTTGCCAGGGAGGTTCTCTTTTAAAAACGGTTTTGAGGAGCACTAGGACAGTGAGAGGTTCAGCCATTTGGAGAAAGTGGCAGCTTTCATTTTTTTTAAAATGTAAATTTGAAGCAAAATATTATTATGGGGAAAATTTAAGTTTCCATTATGATGTAGAAATTCAAGAAAAAAATGTAATTCAGTACATTTTTATTAAAGTATACTGTTTTGTCATAAATAGCCATTTTTGTGGGAGAAAAACTTACCCTAGATTCTTGCACCAGTTCCATTAGATTACATTAGATTATTGCATGCTGAATTTTGTAAGTTCTTGCACTATACATTTATGCACACTTAATACCTAGAAACCAGCTTTATCCACCTTTGAGATGATCAATTTTATCATGGCTCATTAGAACTTCTGGGCTAGATTAGGTAAATGAATTTAAACTGCACAAAGGCACTGAGTTTAGTGTGTGGCTCTGGCAGATCCCTGTTTAATATTCTTCTCCCCATTCCATTATAAATAACATACAAAGAAGTTTGAAATTAGGTCTGGCATTATTGTGAGAGGGAGTTCTAGAACCCTATCAGAATTGCAACTTTTTATCAGTTGGTTGAAATACTAAAACAGACAAGCTAACAAATTGAATTGCTTGTTTATATATTTATTAGACTGTCAGTGGTGATAAATTTAACAAAGAGGCTCTGTGTAAATGAAAAAATTAACAGTGTGGCTGTGTTGGGAATTTGTTGGCAGAATTATAGGTGTGCCTAACAGTTTTCTTGGATCATCAAGCACTATAGTGTCTTTATCTGGGGCTGACTGAAAGAATGCCTTGCTTTTTTGTTTGTTTTTAACTGGTGTGTAGATGTTAATTTTTTTTCTTTTTGTATAACAAATAATAGTATAATCAGAAACATACCAGAGAAGTTTGTGTATTTTCAACTTATTTTCCTTTTGGTCAGTTGGTGTTTAAGAAGGCATATATTTTTTTTTCTCCATGCTTTCTACCTTAGGACAGATGAATGCTTCTTCCAGAAAATTTAAATTAGTATAAAATTGGTTTTTAAAATGAAAAACCAATAGTTTTTCATAGTTAATAGTTAACTGATAGTTAACTTTTTTTTTTTTTTTTTTTTTTTTTTTTTATGTATTTTAATTTTTTTTTTTTTTTTTTTTTTGGTCTTCTGAACAACACTTAAGCTGTCCAAAACCTACACTTTTCTAGTGTTTCCTATTTGTTACCAATCAATTTGGTATCATTAAAGGAGACTTAACATGACCACTTTGGGTTAACTAGAATTTTCAAGTGACTCATTAGCATTGGTAATAATCAAATGGAAAACTGGGAAGTAGCAGATTTGTTCTTTACTGATCTGTTTGACCTTCAGGTCCTTTTTCCTGCAGTTTTTTGGGGCTTGGTGGGAAGCAGGTCTGACTGTGAGAAGTGTGACAGGAACCCCCATTCCAGCCACAGCCACCCTGCACCAAGAACAGCGCAGACCCATGCTGCCTGCTGGAAATGCAGAATTCCTTCTTGGATTAATAGCCTGGTACCAGATGCATGAGGCTGGCTCTAAAGCAGCTTTCTCTCTTAAGTACTGTCAAAAATAGAGAAGCTGAGGATTGGAGAGAAGCCATTTATTTTGAACAGTTTATTTTATGACAGTTTGTGTTTACCAAGAAACCTGCTCATAATATTTACTTAAGAGATCTACATAGTTGCCCAAAGAAGCCCCACAGGTTTCTTTTTTCCTTTAAAAAAGTTTCCATAGAGCTTAACTCTTGGGTGACACTTCTTGACTTTGCTTCTGATTAGTCGATTTATGGGCTTTATTTACCAGCATGATTGGAGAATTCTTTTGCTACTCTGAAATTGCACTCTGTCTGTGCTCTGGTCGGTTTCCTAGGTAACAAATGCACTGCATAGATTCCATAATGAGGACTGTGGTTGGCTAGTTACTGTGTAAATTCTGTTGTTTGGTAAAGCTTAGTCTCAAATTCAAATAAAGGTCAAGAAAGCAAAAGTACTGAAAATGCAAATTTTGGAATTTTATTTTGTATCCAATGCCAACAAAGTTTAATAGGCTTTTCTGGAAAAAGGCAAATTATGCAGCAGTGTTCGTTTGTTTTGCAGACTCTTACACTTAAAACGGTCGGAGAGATTTTTCAGTGTTTCACATTGATTTGGCTAATATGTCTAGTGACAAAGAGAATGTATTGAGAAACATGTTATCACTCTTGCAGATAATCTAGAAAGCAAAGGGAGGTGGTATAAGACATCAGTAATATTTTTAGACCTAGAAGGAAGCAATGTATATTTCAAAAAGTTAGGCGACTTTATGTGAAAAAATGCAAAATATTTGAGAAACTTCTAAAAAACATAAAAGTCTCACCATCAAACGATGCATTTTTGCTCTAGTTTTTTTTTCTTCTGATCTGCCTGAACTTTGGCCCAGCACCAGGGAACAGCTTCCCCTTTATAACTCCAGGTTTGAGAACAGCTTTCTTCCCTGCTTACTCTCTTCTTGAGCTCTGGCATCTGCCGCTCTAGATACAGGACAAAAAGTAATGCACAGTGGAGCTGCTGGTAGTCATCACCTGCTTGTAAAAGAAAGACCACGAACAAACAAGCAGAATTTCACTAAAACCCACTATAGATAACTTTTCATTTGATGGCCTGAAACTGTTTTTTTTTTGTTTGTTTGTGAATCATCAGGGGCTCTTCTCTTGGCTTAAACATTAAAAGAAAATACATGTACCTGTTCTTAATCCCAGAGAATTATCGAAAGTTACCTCCAATACTTTCCTGCTGACCAGAGTGTTTTAGAATTATTCACTTACCTTTGGGTTAAACTGTCATTTCAGGCATAAAACATGTCTTGGCTGGATTTTCTTATTCATGGTTTTTCTCAAAGCTGACATGACATATCTTTTTCTAATTGTAAATATTATGTCCCTTCAGTTTTCTTATGAATGCTGTTAGGATTTTTAGATTTTATCATTACATTATTTTTTAATTTTATTTATTTTTATTTTATATGTATGCGTGTATTGCCTGTATGTAGGCAAGTGCATCCGTGTCGTGCAATGCCTGCGGAGGACAGAAGAGGCTGTTGGATCCCCTGGAACTGGAGTTACCGACAGTTGTTAGCTACCATGTGGGTGCTGGGATTTGAACCTGGGTCTTCTGCAAGAACAACCAGTGTTCTTAACCGCTGAGCCATCTCTCCAGCCCCCAAACCCTTATTTCTTAACTCTTATTATGGGACTTCTTGAGTCACAGTTAAGAATATTTGTGCATTCTTACCCAGCTAGGACACTTCCTTCTTCTAGACTGCATTAATTTACTAGAGCTGCCATAACAAAGAATCACAAACTGGGTGGCTTAAAGAACAAAAATTTATTTTCTGAAAATTCTGCAGACTAGAAGCTTGAGATCGAGGTTTCTGCAGGGTTGGGGGTCTTCTGAGGTCTCCTTGGATTGGTTTTCCCTCTGCCTGTCTGTGTCCTGATCTGCTTTTGTAAAGACATCAGTCATCCTAAGAAATATTATATGGATTAGACTCTTCTATATGATGTCATTTTACCTTAATTACCTCATTTAAAGTCCTTATTTCCAAAGATAAGTCATTCTGAGGTGCTAGGGGTTGTAACTTGAAAGATGGATCTAAGGACGCAATTCAGCCCATAACACAGCCTGTAC